AAAGGAGATATGTCAGTTCCACATTTCAGCGCAAAAGGGGCTGCGCTAACAAGCTTTTTTTAAATAATTCAGAACCTTTTTGATTGTTTATAGTTTCTTGTTGTTGTGATAATGGTTTTTGAGTAAAAACTGCATTATTTAAAGGTCCTTCATCATCATCATCAAACACAACATTTGTATCAATTTGTGTTGATGGTATTTCATATCTATCTTGTGAAAAATCCATCAATAAGTTTTTGTAATCTTTCTTTTTGAAATTCAAATTCTTTTTTGACGATTTTTAGATAGAGTTCTGTTGCTTTAAGTCGAAAATCTTTTGATAAGTTATGTATGCTTTTTCTGTATTCCTGGGTCTGTTCACTTGTAAGTGAATTTTCGTCCACAGGAAGATTAAAGTCATAATGTGGTAAGATTTTCGGTATTATAGCATTTGATATATGTGCAGCTACCAATTCGAAATTTTTCTTTTTCTTATGGTAGTTAATTAACGTCGATCTACAAAAGGTTTTAGCATACTTTTTTTGTTGTTTTGATGCAACATTTTCAAATGTTTTTAGAGCATCCCATTCGTCTTCTTCAATTGAAGCCCGACGAATTCTATTAATGCTCATTTTAGCTAAACCTTGTATAGCTTCTTTAATATAATCGAGTATAAGATCATGTGCTCGTTGTGTAGCAATAGTAGCTGTTTTAGATGAAAGTTCTCGCATATTTCGTGTAATTAATTATTAGCATCGAAACATGTCGATGTCAATCGTGCGAATTTCTTCTCACACATTGACACATTGATCTCAGCCTCCCGTGTATGTGTTATATTTACTATTTCTTTAGCCCAATGATCCTTTTCTTTACCTAAATCATAGATATGTTGCCAGACCTGGGCTTCATAATAATTACCTACACTCTAAAAAAAAACGTTTTCTCAGAAACCGAAACCACTTCGGAAACCGTTTTCGAAACCCTTGAACGTATCTGGGAAGGTTTCCGGACTCATGTTAAGTTTCTGAAAATATCTTCAGGGTTTCCGAGTATCCGGAAACCTATGAGTTTTCGAAATATAGGTCCGGAAATCCTCAACCGTATTCTCAGAAACTCAGGTGCTCTTTTTGAAAACCGAAAGTTATCCCCGGAAACCTTCTCTGATTTAAAAACCTTCTCGAAAACCTTTGCGTTTCCGATATTTTTTTTATCGAAAACCTTTTTGGGTTTCCGAGCATAGAAAACGGTGGAGGCGTTTCCGAAAAAGTGAGCATGGTTTCCAAACATCTATTGGAAACCCTTCAGGGTTTTCGAATTTTCAGAAAACTCCTGCGTTTCCGAAAAAAAGCTTCGGAAACCTATCCAGTATTCTCAAACATAGAAATAGCATTCGGATGTCTTCTTTTTGATTCTAATGTTACGATCGCTATTTTAGAAGTCTAGGTATTGCACGACATGCATGATATAAACATTATTCAATTTATGTGGAATTGTTGTGTAAAAGCATTAGAACTCTGAGAATTCAAAAGAAAATACATTGTTCCTGAGAAAATTTCGACTTGTTATTACATCTTTCAATACCTAAAAACTTGAATGGATTACGACAAATTTTACTGTGGGGATAGAAGAGCTGCATTAAATTGCCAGATTAATTAAAGAATGCCGTCTTTCTCCTTCTTCATTCATTTATGTTTCATCCAAGTACAGGCATTATCATCCTTATCAACAGATTGCAACAGAATATAGTGCAAGTTTGAGCCGTTTGAGGATCATTTCAACCGATTTATACAGAAGATTCATAGGAGAGGAATGATGGAAAACATGAAGAAATCTTCATTTGCGAGAGAATGTAACACAAATACTAGATGTCTCGGAGTGTTTGCAACATAATTTATTCTCCATATATGTTCACAAATGTAAATGATAAAATCTTAAATTTTTTCAAATTATGCGTCGTGATATTCTGTACGATAGTCAAAATAAAAGATCCGCTTGGTTTGTGCTAATAGATTTGGAGTAAGTCAAAAGAAAAGATGTCTCAGATGTGATAGTTTCTCACTTTCATACCGATTTAAGCACTTTGAAAAAAACATATTTACTATCTAAATCAAATCATATGTACAAAACTCATTTCTGAATACTATCATCTCAATAAAATGAGCATTTTCAGTTCGAAAATAGTAGGAAAGAATGAAAGGTCTGCGAAATGCAATTGTTGTTTAGCTAAAGGAAAAAGCAAATTCTGGACAGTGAGAAACTATAAATTCCCATACACCTTTCTTTTTAGCTCTCTTCAAATTTATTAGCACAAGTTACAAGAATCTCTGCGTTCACCTATTAGAAAGAATGCCATGACCTATCGTTTCAAAAACAAGTTGACGTTTTCATGAATTGTCTGTTTGAAGACATAAACAAAATAAAATATCTTAGAAGCGTTCTGAGAAAAACGGTAGATATGTATTCCTTCACACCGCAAGATACAGTTTTTCCAACTGATCCGGTAAATAACCCGGAAAAAAAGCGAACACGAGAATTGCAGTTCACGAGTAACAAAACTGAAGACACCAACATTCTGCTTTCGACAGCAATACGGAAACCAGAAGTCAGACTGCATTAAAGACTTTGACTTCAATACACAAAAAGCTTTCACCACTATAGCAGTCCACTTGAGTTGGTGACTTTGAGTTCGACAGGACATAAGACCTCATGACATTCACTAACTTCATGGCAATGGCTTTGAGAGATATGAAAACTTGAAATCTTTAACTGACTTCATGACGATAGCTTTAAGAGATGTCAAGACTCTAACAAACAAGACTGACTGTACGACTCTTACTCAAAAAAACATACAGACTCAATGACTAAGACTGACTTTGTGATTATGACTTTTAGATACAGAAAGAAAGCAGGACTAAGTCTAACTTTTTCACTCAGTGTTTCGCACGGAGGCATAAAGACTATAGAAATAAGACTGACAGAAGGACACCTGTTTTACGAGACATGAAGACTCCAGGACACAGACTAAATAAATGACATTCTATTTAGGATACGCCCAACTTCCACCAATTCAGCTGACTTCATGACCGTGAATTTGAACAACGAGAACACTGGAGGGATCTCATTAAGTTCATCTCTCCGTCTTTCAAAAGATTCAACACTTTGATTGACATCATGCCTAACTCCTAGACAGATTTCAAAATTTTACGACTACAGTGGACAATATGACTCTGGAAATAACATTCCTCTACACTAGGACACTACCACCAGTTCCATGATACTCACTTTAACAGATATGAACACTCAAGAACTTTGACGAAATTCATGACTTTACATTAAGGACCTATTCCTCTATATTTATACTACGGCCACATCTTCACAAACATCAAACTCAAATCGACATACAGGAGTCACATTACAAGGTTAGAATCACGGGACACATATAGATTACGAACTTGCACCAACACGATGCGATAGGGATTATAATAATGGGATACAATAAGGCATTAGATATAGAATAA